AATTGACAGAAGCAGACTTCAGAAAGTAGGTAATAATGAACTCCTCTGAGCTAAAGGAGTGTGTTCTAACCCAATGCAAGGAAGCTAAGAGCCTTGAAAAAATTTTAGATGAATTGCTGACTAGAATAACCAGTTGAGAGAAAAACATAAATGACCTGATGGAGCTGAAAAACACAGCACGAGAACATCATGAAACATACATAAGTATCAATAGCCGAATTGATCAAGTGGAAGAAAGGATATCAGAGATTGAAGATCAGCTTAATGAAATAAAGCATGAAGACCAGATTAGAGAAAAAATGAACAAAGCCTCAGAAATATGGGACTATGTGGAGACCAAACCTATGTTTGATTGGTGTACCTGAAAGTGACGGGGAAAATGGAACCAGGGTGGAAAACACGTTTCAGGACATTATCCAGGAAAACATCCCCAACCTAGCAAGACAGGCCAACATTCAAATTTAAGAAATACAGAGAACACCACAAAAATACTCCTCAAGAAGAGCAACCCTAGGACACATAATCATTAGATTCCCCAAGGTAGAAATGAAGGAAAAAATGTTAAGGGCAGCCAGAGAGAAAGGTTGGGTTTACCCACAAAGAGAAGCCCATCAGACTAACAGCAGATCTCTCGGCAGAAGAGAGTGGGGGCCAATATTCAGCATTCTTAGAGAAAAGAATTTTCAACCCAGAATTTCATATCCAGCCAAATTAAGCTTCATAAGTGAAGGAGAAATAAAATCCTTTACAGACAAGCAAATGCTGAGAGATTTTGTCACCACCAGGCCTGCCTTACAAGAGCTCTGGAAGGAAGCACTAAATATGGAAAGGAACAACCAATACCAGCCACTGCAAAAATATACCAAATTGTAAAGACAATTGACACTATGAAGAAACTGCATCAATTAACGGGCAAAATAACTAGCTAGCAACATAATGACAGGATTAAATTCACATATAACAATATTAACCTTAAATGTAAATGGGCTAAAGGCCCCAATTAAAATACACAGAATGCCAAATTGGATAAAGAGTCAAGACCCATCAGTGTGTTGTATTCAGGAGACCCATCTCACGTGCAGAGACACACATAGGCTCAAAATAAATGGGTGGAGGAATATTTACCAAGCAAATGGAAAGAGAAAAAAAAAAAAAGCAGGGGTTGCTAACCTAGTCTCTGATAAAACAGACTTTAAACCAACAAAGATCAAGAGAGACAAAGAAGGGCATTAAATAATGGTAAAGAGATGAACAAGAAGAGCTAACTATCCTAAATATATATGCATCCAATACAGGAGCACCGAGAGTTATACAGCAAGTTCTTAGAAACCTACACAGAGACTTAGACTCCCACACAATAAGGTGGCAGACTTTAACACCCCACTGTCAATATTAAATCAAGGAGACAGAAAATTAAGAAGAATATTCAGGACTTGAATTCAGCTCTGGACCAAGCGGATCTAATACACTTCGACAGAACTCTCCACCCCAAATCAACAGAATATACATTCTTCTCAGCACACATCACACTTATTCCAAAATTGACCACATAGTTGGAAGTAAAGCACTCCTCAGCAAATGTAAAAGAACAGAGATTATAACAAACAGTCTCTCAGACCACAGTGCAATCAAATTAGAACTCAATATTAAGAAACTCACTTAAAACCACAGAACTACATCAAAACTGAACAACCTGCTCCTCAATCACTACTGGATAAATAACGAAATTAAGGTAGAAATAAAGAAGTTATTTGAAACCCATGAGAACAAAGACACAATGTACCAGAATCTCTGGGACAGCTTTAAAGCATTGTGTAGAGGGAAATTTATGGCGCTAAGAGCCCACAAGAGAAAGTAGAAAAGATCTTAAGCTGACACCCTAATATCACAATTAAAAGAACTAGTGAAGCAAGAGCAAACAAATTCAAAAGCTAGTAGAAGACAAGAAATAACTAAGATCAGAGCAGAACTGAAGGAGATAGACACACACAAAAAAAACCCTTCAAAAAATCAATGAAACCAGGAGCTGGTTTTTGAAAAGATCAACAAAATAGACAACTAGGAAGACTAACAAAGGAAAGAGAGAAGAATCGAATAGACACAACAAAAAAATGATAAAGGGCCTATCACCACTGATCCCACAGAAATACAAACTACCATCCGAGAATATTATAAACACCTCAATGCAAATAAACTAGAAAACCTAGAAGAAAGGGATAAATTCCTGGACACATACAACCTCCCAAGACTAAATCAGGAAGAAGTCAAATCCCTGAATAGACCAATAACAAGATCTGAAATTGAGGTAGTAATTAACAGCCTACCAACTAAAAAAAGTCCAGGACCAGACAGATTCACAGATGAATTCTACCAAAGGGACAAAGAGGAGCTGGTATCATTCCTTCTGAAACTATTCCAAACAACAGAAAAAGGGGAACTCCTCCCTAACTCATTTTATGAGGCCAGCATCATCCTGATACCAAAACCTGGCAGAGACATAACAAAAAAAGAAAATTTCAGGCCAATATCCCTGATGAACATTGATGGGAAAATCCTCAATAAAATACTGGCAAACCAAATCCAGCAGCATATTCAAAAGCTTATCTGCCACAGTCAAGTCTGCTTCATCCCTGGGATATAAGGCTGGTTCAACATACACAAATCAATAAACGTAATCCATCACATAAACAGAACCAATGACAAAAACCACCTGATTATATCAATAGATGCAGAAAAGGCCTTTGACAAAAATTCAACAACCTTCATGCTAAAAACTCTTAATAAACTAGGTATAGATGAAATGTATCTCAAAATAATAAGAGCTATGTATGACAAACCTACAGCTAACATCATATGGAAAGGGCAAATACTAGAAGGATTCCCTTTGAAAACCAGCACAATACATGGATGTCCTCTCTCACCACTCCTATTCAACATAGTATAGGAAGTTCTGGCCAGGGAAATCACGAAAGAGAAAGAAACAAGGGTATTCAAATAGGATGAGAGAAAGTCATCTGTTTGCAGATGACATGATTGTATATTTAGAAAACCCCATCATATCAGCCCAAAATCTCCTTAAGCTGATAAGCAACTTCAGCAAAGTCTCAGGATAAAAAATCGTGCAAAAATCACAAGCATTCTTATATACCAATAATAGACAAACAGAGAGCCTAATCATGAGTGAACTTCCATTCACAATTGCTACAAAGAGAATAAAATATCTAGGAATAAAACTTACACCAGATGTGAAGGACCTCTTCAAGGAGAACTACAAACCACTGCTCAAGGAAATAAGAGAGGACACAAACAAATGGAAAAACATTCTATGCTCATGGATAGGAAGAATCAATATCATGAAAATGGCCATATTGCCCAAAGGAATTTATAGATTCAATGCTATCCCCAACAAGCTACCAATGAGTTTCTTCACAGAATTAGAAAAACTACTTTAAATTTCATGTGGAACCAAAAGGGAGCCCATGTAGCCAAGACAATCCTAAGCAAAAAGAACAAAGCTGGAGGCATCACACTACTTGACTTCAAATTATACTACAAGGCTACAATAACCAAAACAGCATGGTACTGGTATGGTACCAAAACAGATATATAGACCAATGGAACAGAACAGAGGCCTCAGAAATAACACCACACATCTACAACCATTTGATCTTTGACAAACCTGACAAAAAGAAGAAATGGGGAAAGGATTCCCTATTTAATAAATGGTGTTGGGAAAACTGGCTAGTTGTATGCAGAAAACTGAAACTGGACCCCTTCCTTACACCTTATGCAAAAATTAACTCAAGATGGATTAAAGACTTAAACATAAGACCTAAAACCTTAAAAACCCTAGAAGAAAACCTAGGCAAATACCATTCAAGACATAGGCATGGGCAACGACTTCATGACTAACACACCAAAAGCAATGGCAACAAAACTCAGAATTGACAAATGGGATCTAATTAATCTAAAGAGGTTCTGCACAGCACAACAAACTATCATCAGAGTGAACAGACAACCTACAGAATGGGAGAAAATTTTTGCAATTTATCCATCTGACAAAGGGCTTATATCCAGACTCTACAAGAACTTGAACAAATTTACCAGAAAAAAACAATCCCATCAAAAAGTAGGCAAACGATATGAACAGTCACTTCTCAAAAGATGACGTTTATGCAGCCAACAAACATTTTTTAAAAAGCTCATCATCCCTGGTCATTAGAGAAATGCAAATCAAAACCATAATGAGATACCATCTCATGCCAGTTAGATTGGTGATCATTAAAAAGTCAGGAAACAACAGATGCTGGAGAGGATGTAGGGTAATAGGAACGCTTTTACACTGTTGGTGGGAGTGTAAATTAGTTCAACCATCCTGGAACACTCTGTGGCAATTCCTCAAGGATCTAGAATCAGAAATACCATTTGACCCAGCCATCCCATTACTGGGTATATACCAAAAGGATTATAAATCATTCTACTATAAAGACACATGCACGTGTATGTTTATTGCAGCACTATTCACAATAGCAAAGACTTGGAACCAACCCAAATGTCCTTCAATGATAGAGTGGATAAAGAAAATGTGGCACATATACACCATGGAATACTATGCTGCCATAAAAAAGGATGAGTTCATGCCCTTTACAGGGACATGGATGAAGCTGGAAACCATTATTCTCAGCAAACTAACCCAAGAACAGAAAACCAAACATACATGTTCTCACTCATAAGTGGGAGTTATACAAAGAGAACACATGGACACAGGGACAGGAACATCACACACCAGGGCCTGTCAGAGGTGGGAGGGATAGTATTAGGAGAAATACCTAATGTAGATGATGGTTTGATGGATACAGCAAACCACCATAGCACGTGTATACCTATGTAAAAAACCTGAGTGTTCTGCACATGTACCCCAGAACTTATATATATATATACCCATATAAAATCTAGACCTTTAACCAAAGAGTGAGTGGTCTGAATTCAGGACAACTCACCTGAAACATCCAGTGGGTCTTCTGAAGACAGAGTTTGTACTGGTACTAACTGTACTTTCAGAGGGAAGCACCAGGTGTCAGGTCAAGTCACTTTGAATCTGGTTGACTTATGCCAGATATGCCAACCTAAAATGAAGAAGCCACAGCAAAGTTTATATATGTAGGGGGTTTATTTGCAATCCTCCAAGTGTGAGGATTGCAACCCAGGAACATAGATGCAATTTTCCCTGAATATACACTCTATTAGCAGAAGTTACAAGTGGATTTTTAAAAGGAAAAAAAAGAGTTTCTAAGTTATTTACCAAGAATTTACAATAAAATAACATAAACTATAAAAAATAAAATAAGCCATTGACTATTTCAATGACAGAAGAGGAGGATAAAGTTAATTCCATGGGCTCAGACACTCGTTGTGAATTAAAACTAGAGGATTAGGACAAAGAAAAGTCAGTGAACTTTACGATGATTAGCCCAGGTGATTTGGAAGGTAGATAAACCAGTGACAGAAAATTGTCAGGGAGAGACATTTGGTGGAAGTTACTTAGTTTTGTTTTGATAATTGCAAGTCCTTTCTAGAAAGTTTGTCTCTGAAATCAATACTATGTAGTCTATACATAACAGGTGTCTCTTAATGGATGAGGCACTCTAACCAATTATGCACTTTGCTAATGAAACCTTTGTGCCTAAGAAAAAGCACCATAGTAAGATTATGAGGACTATATTTAAAATGCTGATGAAACATTTGCAAAGAAATGCTTAGAAGTCCAAAGAGAAAAGAAAATGGCAATCAGAATCAAGGGGAAGCAAAATTTTGCTTATACACTTAGAGTTCTAGTTCTATTACGTATGCATTGTAGGTGTTAAAATGTACTTTAGTGTGATGGTGTTAACCAATCAGTTACTTGTTTAGTTAATTAAACCAATCAGTTACTCATTAATTATAACATAAATTATATATTATATACATTATACATAAAATTATACATTAATCACATACTTTTTAAAGTTTATACATTTCAAAGGAAATACCACTTTTTTTTTTTTTGTTTTTGTTTTGCAAAAGAGATTGTTACAAAATACAGGCCAATATATTTTGAAGTATTCACTGGTGTTTATTTTGTTCTTAGCTTCAAACTTTGTTTCAAGGTCTATTTAGAATTACACACTTTTCAAAAATCATGAAATTCAACTATAGAGAAATGTTTAGAGATTTTTGAATAGGCATTCAAAACATAGGTATTAATACAAATATTTACTTTATATTTTGTTGAACATCTAGAGATATTGTCTCTCAAGGAAAATATTGACCTTATCTCCAGGTCAATAAATCTCTATGTTCACTGCAACAAAAGTCAGTATCTGTATCATATCCATTTTCCTAGACAATAACTACTTCTGTTCATGCTACAATGATTAGTGTTTAAAGATAGCTTATTAAAAAAGAAATAAAACATGAATAGAAAACATTAATTTTCAAAGTCTTAAAAATTTGTTGACTAGGCAAATAAATTCTAAAATAAATCGAGTATGCCTAAGCTTTCATATCAAGAAGTTGGATTTGCAAATTATTTTTGCCAAGGAAAACAAAAACTGTTTGTGGTAAGTAAATACAGTGGGAAAGGGAAGAATTAAGCCTGATAATCTTGTGTTTTACAAAGCTCTCATTACTTTTTTTTTCTCCTAAACAATATACATTTAGGTTTTTCCCAGCTGTATATCTTAGAAATAAAATGTTATTCTGTTAAGCTGCTGAGAGTTGTTGGCTTGTTACTGTGGCACAGTCTTGTATATAATATTAATATAGTATCTAAAGAGCAATGGCGTATGTATTAATTGGTTCTTTAAATCATAATAATCCTCTATTTCCTTTCTATTTCCAAAATAGCAAGCAATATCTTTGGTGACTTTCTGTAATTTTACTTTGAACTTTTTCTAATTCTAGATTTTGAAAATATCTAGAAAAAAAGTTGTTTGCATTATATATTCTATGGGAAGTCAGAGTTTCCATCTCTCTTAAATAGAAATTTGTGGGAATGAATGGAAAATCTTAGAATTGTGTTTTTCAAGGAAGGTAAATTAAATGAGCAGTGTGAACAACAGCCATCTCCTTAATAAGGAAATTGCTAACACTATCCAATATATGCCTATTGTGAACATTAAAGCTATTCCCTAATACTCAGTTTTCCTCTTTACCTCCAAGTACACAAAAAAGTTGTTCTTCCTCTCTTCTCATATATTCGGTATGAACATGGGCATTCAACAAGAAATATAAGCAGATAAGGCATGTGCCACTTTTAAGTGGTAGTAATCACTTGGCTTTGTATAAGATGGCAGAGCCAAAAGGTTAAGTAGCATAGATCACTGAGTATGGAGAACAGCTTGCTTGGAGGATCACTCAAACACATGACAGACTTAAGAAAAAAACTGATAGATTAAGACATTGATATAGGGGGGTTAGTATTTGATTATCCTATAGTGTAACTTCACTGCTATACCATCTAGGGAAACAATCAAGAAATCTGGCTCCAGAAATAACTCCTAGCTTTTTGTGCACTTATTGAGTTGATGGAGAGGCCATGGATGCCATTAATCCAAAATAAAAGGAGAAGGGAAAATGAATAGATAATATAGCCTACCTCATTTGGAAATACAAGAGCCACGTTTCTACTTTCAGTTTCTACAGTATACCTTGTGACTAAATTCTTCTTCATTCATCTCTAAAAGTCATTCTTCAGGTTTGACTTCACCTGGTTTGGCCAAAGGCCAAAAGTTTCTAATAATGGTTCTCATTAAAATTCCAAGCATGACTTCTTCTACTGTTACCTAATTAAACAAGTTTTTTTTTGTGTGTGTATATTCAGCAATAATGCTGTAACTTTTCTATATACTTTACTGACCATAATTATTACTTTATCTAGAACTTGGTGGACTATAATTTCTCAGGCTAATTTAATAAGAATTATGGTCTTGACAGAAACCTAATCTTGAAGAGATTACCTTGTGCCATCATTATGAGTCTTTTCATGGCAGTATATAATCCTATCAGTGAATGACAATGCCCATGGATCTTGGCACTCAGCTACATAACTTAGTGGCAACAATATTGGAAATGGCAGCCCATTCACCTTTCAGGGTGATAGCACTAATACAGTTGCTTCTCTTCATTTATGCTCTAGAGGCTTACTCAGGAGATGATATTACAGAAAACCTTTTCTAAGGTTTTCTGTTTCTAATGTTTTCTGTAATATCATGAATACAATGCACTTGTACCAGAATACAAATATAATATATTGATATTGTATGTAAACATCATATACTTACCACTGATTAAGGAAAGGCAAGGCTTCTGATATAATGTATTTTTTTCTTCTTTCCAAACACTGCCTTTTGTGCTCTTGAAATGAGGCTTTCTATGTCATTTTAGGGTGCTGAATGTAATGAGGGATAACTTTATGATTTTTGTTATCCACTTGTCCTTGTCATTGTCTCTTGAGAATTATACTTTTGAAGTCTTTTGACCTTTAAGATCTATTGCTTTTGTCACATTTGAGATCATTTTCTGTGCTTATTTCCTAGGCTTATTTTATATTTATCATTTTAAAAGAAAGTAGTTAAATAGCATAAAACTAATGAACTGATTTCTTAGAATTCTTAAATGCTACCCAAGTGGAATAAATTGAGCTCCAACTCTTAAGAAAAAAACTGTTGTTTATAAGAAGCTATGTCTCCATGAATATATGTGCATGTGTATGACTGTGTATACATACTACCTAATGACATAATTATTTAAATACTAAAACCAAGAGCCAGTGGCCTACACACAGATAAATGACACAAGAATTACTATGTTATTGATTTTATTTCATTATTATTCTCTGTATCATTTTTGTTCCTACAGCTATATTGCAAATGGGAATTTCGTCTAATACACCAAAAATTACCTAGCAAACAGCTGATCATTTTTAAAGGAAATGAATAGTTGTATTAAAATGTTTTGCTTAATCAGGGGCAAATTAAAATCTGTAATGCTTTTATATCTCTTTCAAAGTATGTAGATAATGAGGTTGGGTTTATTCTCTTACGTTGGTTTCGCTTTCTCTACCGTCATGTGATGTTTAAATATAAAAGGTCTAGTAAAAAGGTGTATAAGAACCTTTTCAGGTATCCTGACCCTATTATACCTTTCTTCTGTCTACAGCTAGAGATACCTGATCCATACTCACCCCTGCCTCAGGCTTTAGATTTAGTATATGTCATTACAAGATAAAATTTATTTTAGGAGACAATTCATTATAAAATCAACTGAAGTTTTCAGTTTTATTTTGACCTCACATTATAGGATTACACTCTAGCTTCAATAATTCAGTTCCCAACTAATTGCCAAGGAGGCCCTGTCTTAGTAAATACCTTCCCATTATTCTATGTCTTTCCATACCAGGACTCTGCTTCGTTATTGTGTAAACTTTCCTAAGTCAGTACGATTCTTGAATTTAAGTTCAGTATTGGAAAGAGCAATCTATAGACAAGTGACACCCATATGTCTATGTCACTTAATACTGAATACTCCTGTAATGTGCTTTTCTCATCTGCCTACCTGCCCAGCTATCTCTTAGCATTCCTATATCTCCCCAATACTAAACTAATACCTGCAGTGAGACCACACTCTTCAGGAACTATTCTTCAGTCAGCATATTAGACTTCTCATACCTACACTGGACATTGTCTACCATTTCTAGTCCCAAGTCCCAGCCTCATATTGAGAATATATTTAGCTACTTTCAGGTTTAACCTAACCTGCTGTCTATAAAAGCTACGAGTCTTTTTTTTCAAGCCATTACTACTGTTATTCTTTTCCTTTCTGTCTAAAGCTTTATTTCTTCCTCAAGGTGTATTTAATCTACAGCACATAATACGGTACCTTAAGTATAATATTAGATGTCTCATTCAAATACTATGTATCAATAATAACCTTGATCTAGTTTGTATTTTTCCAAAAAGAAATTGCTTAATTTATATTTCTGGGTAGTATGTAATATAAAACTGTAGTATTTAATACCAAAGCCTAGGTAGTGATGGTAACCATGTTATAATAACCAAACACAAGATAAACCTTAATATTTTTTCCTATAATCTTAACAAGACATAATTGTTTTCTGTATTTGTTTTGTATTATTTT